AGAAAATTGTATAGTGTATGGCCAGCCTGAGTCTTTTTGTTTAAATAAAAAGGAACACTTAAAAAAAAAAGAAAATTAAAGTGTTTTTTGTTAACTTTAGTTCCTATTTTTTTTTTTTAACCTAAGGAGCAAAGGTAAATGCAGCTAAACTTCACGAGACAGCGCTACATCATGCTGCAAAGGTGAAAAACAAGGACCTGATTGAGATGCTGGTTGACTTTGGAGGAAATGTTTATGCTAGGGACAATCGTGGAAAAAGTCCTTCAGATTATAGCTGGCCAAACAGCCCTACAGCTAAATGTTTTGAATATTATGAAAGTAAGTTGATATAGCTTGTAATGTAATTATATGTGTTACAGATCATAAAACACTTCAGGTCATGGGATACATCAAAACAATAATGAAAATTGTAAACCATATTTCCTAGTTGGCATGCATATGAAGTTACAGTTTGGTGCACAGCAAAGTAAATATGTACTGTATATAGCGGTCCATTTTTTGCGATACGGTGCTGCGTTACTTTAACTGACAGTTGCGTGGTTATGCAATTCTGTACATAAATGAAATTTGTAATTTTTTTTTTCCCACAAATAGAGCTTTCTTTCAGTGGTATTTGATTACCTCTGTGGTTTTTATTTTTTTGCACTATAAACCGACAAAGACAGACAATTTTGAAAAAAAAAATATTTTTAACTTTTTGCTATAAAACATCCAAATAAAATCTAAAAAAATCTAATTTCTTCATAAATTTAGGCCAAAATGTATTTTGCTATTGTCTTTGCTAAAAAAAAATCCCAATAAGTGTATATTAATTGGTATACGTGAAAGTTATAGCATCTACAAGTGGCGGTATATATACAGGAATTTCTATTTTATTTTTTTTTTATACTAGTAATAACGGCGATCGGCGACTTATACGGGACTTCGGCAGGCATTCTGACACTGTGTAGGAACTGACTAACTGCCACTGACATCCCCAGTGACACTAATACAGTGATCAGTGCATGAAGTGTCAGTGCTCGGACTGCGTATGCAGTGCCTATGCTCTAAATGCATGTGCAGTGTCTGTGTCCTACTGCACGTGCAGTGTCTGTGCTCTAATGCATGTGCAGTGTCTATGCTCTGAATGCGTGTGTATTGTCTGTGTTCTGATTGCTTGTGCAGTGTCTGTGTCCTACTGCACGTGCAGTCTGTGCTCTGATTGCGTGTGTATTGTCTGTGCTCTGATTGCTTGTGCAGTGTCTGTGTACTACTGCACGTGCAGTGTCTGTGCTCTGAATGCATGTGCAGTGTCTATGCTCGGAATGCGTGTGTATTGTCTGTGTTCTGATTGCTTGTGCAATGACTGTGTCCTACTGCGCGTGCAGTCTGTGCTCTGAATGCGTGTGTATTGTCTGTGTTCTGATTGCTTGTGCAATGACTGTGTCCTACTGCACGTGCAGTCTGTGCTCTGAATGCGTGTGTATTGTCTGTATTCTGATTGCTTGTGCAGTGTCAGTGTCCTACTGCACGTGCAGTGTCTATGCTCTGAATGCGTGTGTATTGTCTGTGTTCTGATTGCTTGTGCAGTGTCTGTGTTTTCTGTACATGCTTACTGAGGCTATAAAGCAGAATGGGTGTAAGAAGCCTCCAGTACTGTTGACAGGAAGCCAAAATTGAATGTTTTCTTTTTATACTATATACAATACATTTAGTACTAAATTACCTTTATTGTTTATCTGATTCTTACTTTTCTGTTCAATTATAGAGATGCCAAGAAGTTTATCTCAGTTGTGCAGACTCAAACTCAGAGAAGCCCTTGGTCAGGGAGTAGTCGAAAAAGTTTATAAATTAAATATACCCCAAAGACTTATGGAATATGTTGCTTATAACTGAGTACAGTACATGTTTTACATTAAATGAAAATCCCTCTGTTCTTGAAAGGACCATGTGCAAATTGACTTAAGAACTTAATGGGCTCATTTTTGAAGGCGTCATATTAAATCCATAACTGATTCTTCGCATGGAACAGAAGCAGTAAGCTACGTATTTAATGCATGGTATAGATGGTCATCACAAAATCCATGTCATTCTGTTTACACATATATTTTTATCTTAAATTAATATTGTTGACCTAATTTTATTTTTGTAAAATAAATTTGTGAAATGTAAAATAATTATAGGATTTCAACAACCATATGAAGTAGAGTAAATACATCACAGGAAACACATATTTAAATCTTCAGGTAGATGTACAAACACAGTCTACTGCAGTTGTGTATTCATTTAAAGGGATTAAATTAAATTTTATATACAACTGGTATATTTATCTGAATTTGTCTTGATATGAGCCTCCTGTCATCCATTGCAAAGCAGACTAGGAGATGGAGGAGCAGCAGTGAGAGCTAATCAGACACTTCTTCAAGTACATGTTCTGCATGGAAAAATGCTGACAGAAGGAAGGAGCAGAGTCTATGATATGATATGTCAGTGTGCTGCTTCTCTTTCAATGTCCAGTCGGCAGGTGGGGAGGTGATCTTATTGTTATAATGTGGTGACATATTCTTAATGTGGTGACACTCCTGGTTGTAGAGGTACTGTATATGAATCAGAGGTGCTTGAGAGAATAACACACATTTTTGCAGATTACAGTTCACATATGTGTATTTCAGCCGTGTAATTAGCTGTTGGGTGTTTTAGCTTTAAAGGTTCATTAAAACACAGAAAATTTTGTGTTAGCCAAGTACATGCCAGTTGCTTATCTCCAGGGCTTCACTGGTAATCGTACCCTTTAGTCGATTCTGGTATATTTGATCTTCTTAATGTAACTTATATGGAGAATGTGTTTAGTACGATTGAGTGCTGTGTTTATCCAAAAGGAAAAAAAAGGGGTTTTCATTGCTCAATAATCTTAGTTCTGGAGCCCTTGAGGAAAGAAAGCAGTATGTACTTCATCATGCCCGCTTGGACCCACCACAGAATTTCTAGTACTAAGTAATATAACTCATATATGCATGTTTTTTTATCAGTTTGTATTAAATATTCAAAACTGCAAAATTGTGACAAGTGCACTGTTGTCAATATGTACAATAAAGATAGAAAATACTGTATGATGACTTTCTATTGTCTAGTATAATTGAAAATACGATATTTGGAAAAAAAATGACGTATTAAGAATGCTCTTGTTAAAGCAGAGCTCCACTCAAAAGGGGAAGTTCCGCTTTAATGCATTGACTCCCGTTCCCCGTTAAGGATTGACACCTTTGGGGAGTGGGTACCCAAATTTGACAGGTACCCACTCTCACTTCTGCTGCGATCGCCTAAGGCGATCGGAAGTGGAAGTTTTCCTCCCCTTCCCACCTCGTAGTCTTCTGGGACACTTGACCGGTCCCAGAAGACTACAGGACTATTTACAAAGTGCAACGCTACTCACGCATGGGCAGTGGGCACCCGACTGTGAAGCCGCAAGCTGTCACAGCCGGATGCCCACATTGAAGATGTCGGTGCCGGGGAGAGAAGATGGCTGGTGAAACCAGCCGTGGTGAGGTCACCGCTGGATCGTGGGACAGATCTGTATTTTTTTTTTTTTTTAAATAAGCTGGAACTCCGCTTTAAGTGGTTCTTTTTGAAGACAAATATTGATAGGTAGAATGTAAATTTGTGATTAGGTACTGTATACTTCAATCAGAATTAAAGAATAAAGTTTGGAGATGTGGAATGTGGCTATCATTTGAGGGCAAGGTGTGATCTCTCATTTTGGGGAAAAGGGGGTGTCTTGGCTACATTGCATTGCAATAATGTAGGTGACTTCGTTCTTTTGGGGCTGCAAATGAGATTTGCCTGAAAGTCTGGGTAAAAGCACATGTTCTGAGCAGTGAACAGTGCTATACATACCTCTGTCGCTTTGAGCTTTTTTGCTGAACTGTTATCTATCTAGAAGGCTGTGGGACATACTTATTTGCATAGACACTGTGTTCAGCTCTCCTCTCCGTTTACAGAACTGTGTGCTCAGTAAAGGACTTGGGTCATTATATCCATGGCATTGCTGCTATTACATTCCTAGCCCAAGTACAAGCTTCCTGAATGAATCAATATCTAATTGATCTTATGGTCACAATGACTTATGTTTTGTACACCTGATGATCCTGTTATGCTTCTTGTTAAGCTTGAGTGAGCTGTGTTGTATTTTGGTTGCCCAGAGCTGTTATAGCATTGTTATTATTCACCTCTGGTTCATTTAACTGATTATGGGTCATCATGATCCTATAGTCTCACTTAATTGGACACCCTTTGGTGGAGGATACATTCAGTCTCTATCGCAAAATTTAATGCTTTGATATATTATGAATGTGCATACTTACGTCTAGACGTTCTCTTTGGTACTAAGGCAACATTGTCTTGTTTTTTTATGGTGGTGGAAGGTGGTTTATTATTTTTTAGTTTTTTTTTTTAATATAGATTTTGGTAAACTTAATAAAGAGTTTTTTTATTATTATTGTGTATCCTTAATTAATCTGTCAATTTATGCTCCGGAGGCTCAGTTATATGGCCCCTTTATATTGCTCTGTATCTTCCTCTTTTTTTCTTCTCAGTCAGTGGAGGGTGCCTGGTCATCACTTCTACACAAAATGCTAATGTTAGTTACAGTTAGAGGATGTGGCCAATTATAGGTAAAGAGTTAAAGGAAGTTCGGTTTTAGTTCAGCAGTGTGTACTCATCAGTTCCAGGAGACCTTTGGGTGGTCAGGTGTGGTGGCAGTTTATGGGTTCCTGACAGTCATAGGTAGGGGTGTCTGTGTGTGCTGTCTATTGCTTAGCCCAGACCAACAAAACACAAGCACCTGGTCTATGGAGTAAGGTAGAGGTGAAACTGCTCTGTATGATTATAGGGCATGAGTAATTGTAATGGAAGGGGTAAGATTATTCATGTAGTTAAACAGATGTCGTGGTCTTTATGACGCAAAGAATAATCCACCTTGCTGGAAAGCTTAACAGGAGCACATTACATTGATACTTTAGGGTTTATTTAACCTCTTGCCGTCCGCCTGTTGTTTATAAACGGCAGGGCGGAGGCAGTCCAGGGTCGGGTTGCCGTCCATAAACGGCACCCGCCTTTTCTAGCTGTGCGCGCTCCCTGGGAGCGCGCACCACTGCGATCCGGTGCCCGCTGTGTCCTCCAGACACAGTGAAACACCGATCGTCGGACGGGACCTCTGTACGAGGTCCCGATCATGTGATCACTGATTGGCGAATCAGTGATCACATGCAAAGTAGTAAGCAAGATGTCACTTGTGACATCATTGCTTACTATGTGTGAAATCTGTGAATGATCACAGAGGTCACATGGTACAAGGCTATTCACAACAGCCTTGTACCATGTGACAAGCTGTGACCACTCACAGCTCACTCAGTAATTCTCAATGACTGCAGGAATGCAGACAGAGAGAAAGAGAAATGATTGCTTTTACATCCTATATGGGTGTAAAAGCAATCAGTGTAAAAAAAAAAAAAAATCTTCATCACCCTCCACAAGTAGTACAGTGTCACCATGGTGACAGTGTACTGCTAGGGTGACAGTATGTAAAAAAAAAAAAAATAAATAAAAAATAATAATATAAAAAAAAATAAAATAAAATGTAAAAAAAAATGTTTAAAAAATTATATTTTTGGTTATAAACTAATTTGGATTTTTTTTTTTACTAAAAAAAATAACGGAATAAATTTTGGCTAAGATTTATGATGAAATATTATTTATTTGCAAAATTTTATTTAAAAAAACACTTTTTTTCAAAATTTTTGAACTTTTTCATTTACATAGTAAAAAAAATAAAAATCCCAGCGGTGAATAAATACCACCAAAATAAAACTTTATCTGTCTCAAAAAAATGGTCAAAAATTCATATGGGTACAGTATTGCATGACCGTGCAATTGTCATTCAAAGTGTGATAGCGCTGAAAGCTAAAAATTGCCCTGGACAGGAGGGGTAAAAGTGTCCGGACAGGAAGTGGTTAATAAAGCTAGAGAGTGCAAAATCAGGCTCACTTTTGCATAGAAACCAATCAGCTTTCAGGTTTTATTGCCAAAGTTTTAATTTAACAAGATAAGGTTAGAAACAAATTAGTTTCTATGCAGAAGTAAGCCCAATTTTGCACTCTATACCTCTAGTAAATAAACCCCCTTGTCCTGGCAATCTCTCTCTTTATCACCTGCTTCTCCTCAAAAAACTCAGCTTCCTTGGCCATCATTACTCTGCTTTTTCCTGGTTCTCCTCCTACCCTATCTAAGCACTCCTTCAGTGCTACCTGCAATTTTATCCCCTCCTCTCTTCTTTCTGTAGGGGTTTCATGGCATTGTCCTTGAACCTCTTCTATTCTATATCTACACCTTCTACCTTGATCAGTTGATAACCTTGCATAGTTTCCAATACCATGTCTATGCTGATAACACCTAAGTATCTACTCCTCAGCTCACCCCTTTAGTCTCCTTGTGCATTCCTAATTTACTAACTGACTCATCAGTGTAGATGTCACACCACTTCCTAAAACTAAATCTTTCAAAAATTGAGCTCATAATATATTCTATCCAGCCATTGTGTGGCAATTTTAAGCAGGAAGCAGAGCCTTGTATGTATGAACTGCTGGTGCTTCTCTAGTGTAAGGGTGGCTTCACACTGCTCAGTGGAGTTCTGGGCAAAAGGCAGCTAACCTGTAGGTTTTGTGTGGGTTAGCTGATCTTTCCCATAGATTTCAATGATGCCCTGCAGTTTTGATGCAGTTTGAGAAAGTGCACCAAAAATGCAGCATGCAGGAGTCTTGGTGTGCTTTCTGAAACTGCACCAAAACTGCAAAACCTCATAGAAGTCTTTGGGAACGTGCAGCTAACCCGCACGAAGACCACAAATTACCTGTGCTTTAGCAAAAGCTCAGTGGGGCAGTGTGAAGCTGCCCTAAATATATTTATCTACGAAATCTGCACAGAAGTAAGATTTTTAAAACATTACACACGTTACATTTATTTAACTTGATCTCATTCACATTTACAGTATAATTGGAAATAAAAATACTGTACCCCTTTAAAGCTAAACTCCATTCAAATATATAAAAAACAGCATTACATATAGTTACATATTAAGCACTTGCTAACCGCGCTATAGCTGAATGATGGCTACAGCATGGTTGTCCAATTCTGGGAGGACGTCCTATGATGCCCTCCAAGAATGCACCCTCCCGTGCGCCCCCAGCAGCACACACCTGGCGCTCTCTGTGATCGCTGTGTCCCATGGACACAGCTGATCACGTAATGAGGTAAAAGTCCAATGACACAGCAGATCGTGGAGTAAATACAGTACGGTTATCAGCAGCAGACACAGAGCAGATCAGCACTGATCATCAGGGCACTGATGATCAGTGCCACCCATCAGTGCTGTACAAGCAGTAGTGTCCAGCAGTGCCACCAGCCAGTGCCGCCAGTCAGCGCCGCCCGTCAGTATGACCCATTAGTGCCTCCTATCAGTGACCTTTATTGCTGCATATCTGCAGCATCATCAGTGCCTCCTCATCAGTTCCACCTCATCAGTGCTGCCTATCAGTGCAGCCTCATTAACGCAAATCAGTGGAGAAAAATTACCAGTTTGCAAATTATATAATAGAAACAAAGAAAAACCTTTTTTTTTTTTTCAAACTTTTGCTCTTTTTTTTATAGTGCAAAAAATAAAACACCCAGTGGCGATTAAATACCACCAAAAGCAAGCTCTATTTGTGGGAAAAATTATAAAAATTTCATAAGGGTACAGTGTCGCATGACCGTGCAATTGTCATTCAAAGTGTGACAGCGCTGAAAGCTGGCCTGGGCACGAAGGGGGTAAGAGTGCCCGGTAGGCAAGTGGTTAATTTAAAAATTCTAAAGTATATGTGAAGTCAAAACTTTTTCTTTCACTTTGGGTAGAGTAGTAAAGTATTAAAACTACTGTCAGGTTTTTTTTTTTTGCATTTCTGTCTTATTTGGGAGATTACCATTCACTTCCTGTTCTCTAGACTTAACAGAAAGTGAGAAGATATCTTTCCAATGTGAGGTAAATCCCCTCTTAGGCTAGGTTCACACATAAGCAGTTTGCATTTGATCCGTTTCTGGATTGCGTTTTGCATTTTTGATGCGTTTTTGCAGCATTTTGCGTTTTTTTTTTTTTTTTTTAAAGTCTTGTTGCTAGGCAGATTTAAAACAAAAAACGCAGCAAAAACTAACTACATGCCTTTTATGCAGCGTTTCCATTGAAGTCTATAGAACCAAAAACGCAACTTTTTGTTTTCTAAAAAGTCCCTGACCCTTTCCAAAAAATGCATCGGGTGAAAACGCTGAGATGTTAACGTGTCCCATAGGAAATCTTGTTAAATGGACTGTACTGTGTTTCTGCAAAACACTGTGTAAAATGCTTAGGTGTGAACCTAGAGTTAAACAGTTAACATGGGAACATGTGTTCCTGATGGAAATTTCCCCTCTATTCTTTTGCTTGTGGCAACTTAAAGAAGAACTATGGACAAAACTTTTTTTTTTCCATTTGGATAGGATAGTTTAGACACTCACACAGCATATTTTTTTTTATAGATAAACCCCTATAATGTTTGTCAGAAGAAACATGTGTCTGTGAATTGTGGATTTGACATTACCTCCTATGTCGTGCGTTCGGGTTTAAAAGCAACATTTTGCGTGGGGCACAGTCTTTCTTCTGCAAAGGTGGCAGAGAATCATTATGGTTTTATTAGTGAGCTTAAACACTCTCAGTTTGAATTTTATTGTAGTCTATACATTTGACCAGTTTAGTCTTTTTGAGTCCAAAACATATACTACTAAATTATTAGTTTTTTTCAATACCAAGTTATGTCATTTTCAATTATAAATAAGCAACGGGACCACATACGCCTGGACTATATCAGAGAGCTATCTATATTCCTGCTGTATGAATTTCAGCAGAGCACATTCTGTCCTCATGACATTCCTGACTCACGTTCTTCCCAGATTATGTGCAAGCATGCCGTATCTTGCAACACATGAATGAACTAAACATATGTACAGTATATTGCAATATAACTACTTTTCTCACTTGGCTATTTACTTGGATATCAAGTGGGTACTGTCATATACTGTTTCATACAGCAAACACAATTAATTAGGGTTCTCAGCACAGTGTTCTAAAAAGTCTCTAGAACATTAAAAGACAATAACAAGCGCAATACAAGTATCTGGATAATATTCTTGCTCAGCATTTTTTGTCATTACAATATTTTATATATAATTTTTTTATATTACAATATTTTGTTCATGCTTTTTGAACATGCTGTGCTGCATTTGAAATAAAAAAGGACACAATAGTTGTTGGTTATAAAATATCTATGCCCAGTGATTTTAGGAGGGCAGTACTTTGTTCAGGTTCTCTTTATGAGTCCTTAGTTAAAAACGGAACTATGAGCAAAATCAAAAGTGACAGATGTGATGTGGTCTGTCACTAGCATTAAAGCAAAGGAAAACTCTGCTCTGCTCCATTGATGCAACATATGTTGTACATAAACTTCCTTATCGGTGCTGAAATCTTCTCATTTGCTTCTTAAGATTTGGGATTTTCATCCAGTTTGATTGGTGAAGCTGAGATGATATAGGATGAAGTAAGCATGCACATGGGAGTTAATTCATCCAGCAGATTGTCATGTACTTGGAAGTGAGCCTGAAGTGCAGAGGAAGGCCTCTTGTACAGCTCTGGCTTAGGGGTCACTGATAGTAAAACAGTAACCACGAGAGCACAGCGAGGTATGAGTGCCCATGATCAGTCCAGCAGTGATCAGTCCAGTAGTCTGTCTGGGTAGTAGCTATCACTTTGCTGAAAGGATGCCAGCAACAGATTAGCCGGTGGTAGGCAGACGTCCCAGCAGAGCAGGGCTGGCAGCAGGCAGATGGCACAGCAGGGCAGACTGGTAGCAGACAGGCTGGTAGCAGATAGGCTGGCAGCGGGCAGACATGACAGCGAGGCAGGCTGGTAGCAAGCAGACGAATTAGATGAGAGTATGCTTGACTACGGAACTGTAGCAGGTTCAATGAACAAGATGCCGGGTCAGCAACAGATGGGCAGATCAGGCATAAATGGCAGACAGGAGAGAAGTCAGGTCACAGGCCAATGTCAGCAAAGGTGGAGGCAGATCAGGCAGAGGTAGAAGCCGGAGAACAAGCCGAGGTCAGGGCAAGTAGCAGACAAGCGGAGTCAGGAGCAAGCTGGGTCAAGATAAGAGGTCAGAATACAGAAATCAGGATATACACACACAGAAGCTGCAGGCCAAACAGCAATTAGCCAGTGCAGTAGTTCTATTTAACCACTTCAAGTGCGGACACTTTCACCCCCTTCCTGTCCAGGCCTATTTTCAGCTTTCAGCGCTATCACACTTTGAATGACAATTGCGCGGTCATGCAACACTGTACCCATTTTAATTTTTTTTAGCATTTTTTTGAGACATGTGACCTCTGTGATCATTCACAGATTTCACACGTAGTAAGCAATGATGTCATCTTGCTTACTACTATTCATGTGATCACTGATTGGCAAGCAGTGATCACATGATCGGGACCTCACACAGAGGTTCCATACAGCGATCGGTGTTCCACCGGACACAGCGGGCACCAGATCGCAGTACTGCCCGCTCCCAGGGAGCACGCACAGGCAGGGAAGCGGGGAGGACGTTTATAAATGGCCACTCACTCCTGCAATGCTCCCGTCCAGCCGTTTATCTACATGGGCCAGATGGGAAGTGGTTAAAGAAGCTGTTTTGTATCAGCCTTTGTGACAGGCGCGCACCCATATGCGCGAGTGTGCACGCACACGACTATGCTCATATTTGTACACACCTGCCCGGCCAGTTGCCAGACTACGCATGTCCATATTTATGCACCGGGAAGCTTTGTTTGCACTATGAGCAAGTTTTTCCTGACACAGATGCTGGAATTGTACATTGAGCAGAAAGTGCACAGCTCAGTATATAATGTAAACAAATAGCGATGAGGAAAGTAAGAAGACTTTATTGCAGAAGATAAATAATATGTCTTTTATACAGTTAAAAACCTTCCTGTTTGTAGATTTTAGATTTTTAATTAAAGTTCTGGTTTGATACAGCATTTTGTGATTTTCCACCTCCATAACATAGTTTTATTACATGTTGATTATTTTTTCATAAGAGGAGGAAAACCTGGGCACCCATAATATTTATATAAAGGTTTTTGTGTTTAAACTTGTCTGGCGCACTCATCTCCCACCGCCCCTCACCTCTTACGTGTGGGGAGCCATGCATCCTGAGCCCAGCACCTCGCACACAGTTCCCGTCTCTCCTCATCCCCTCTGCTCCATACTGTTGTGGTCTGGTTCCGGGAAGATTTAAACTTAGGTTACCCACAGCTCCCTCTCTATCCTGCCCAATACTTGCCTCAGCAGGTTATCCTATGCTCACCTCCTTCCGCCAAGACCCCCTTACCAGATACCCAGGACAGTCAGACTTCTGCAGAGTGAGTCCTTGAATCCTTCTGTGTTTCTCCTTGCTATGACATATTGCTGTCCTGTGGACTATTTCTCCTTGCTGCTCCATATTGCTGCCCTGTGGACTATTTCTCCTTGCTGCTCTATATTGTTGCCATATGGACATTTCTCCTTGCTGTACCATAACACTGCCCCGTGGATTGTGGACATACCTCTGTGGTCTAGCGTGGTTGTTCTGAATTCATCCCCAGCTGTGTTAAATGGCTAAACTGTGATCTTGTTGTGTGCACTGGTGTCCCTGGATAGTTATTTGTAGATACACCTCTTGCTGCACCCCTCCTATATGTCAAAGTTCTCCAATAAAGGCTCCACACATTGGGCTCTGTGTTATTTGCTGCTATGGAATCTCTCTCTGTGCTCTTTACATCAAACCATTGCACACCCAGAAACTGCAACTGCCTAAATAAGACTTAAAGAAAAATAAAGAATTCATAACCAAGTATAAAGTACATAAACTTTTGGCATAAATTTATACTTAAACATTTAAAATAATATATAACTGAGGTTTAGTTTTTTTTAAATGCAGTATTTTCTTTATAATTGTCAGGATTCAAAAATACATTCTACATAAACAGGAAGATTATACAGTATTTTGCATAGGAATATGAAGAATTTTCATTATACCTCAACAGGTGGAGTTCCATTCTCCATTTCACATGTTCTCTGGGCTGTCATTAGCTGCTTTATTAAAAGGAAAGCCTGTTGTTTACAGTGCTCAATATCTCAATCTAATAAGAGCTAAAGTCTAAAGGCAAAACATGTCTGCTGTGCTCAGTGTACAAAAAAATAAATAAAAGGGGGAATTTATTAAGAATGTCATTGACACTTTTTAGAATTCCCTCAAACCTCTGCACAGGAATTGTGTTTGTGACAAATTTACATACCTGTTGGGAATAGGTACATGAATCTACCTTAATAGGTGGTGGCAGTAAGGCCACTCCTGTCTTCAGAGTAGCTCATTACATAGGTTTACCTTGATTTTGATTGTGACCATAAGTCAGTGGGTGGATTCCATAGCTGCAGCTGTGGAATCTGCCCTCTGCCATGTGCTGTCATCAGCTTACGCTACAGCTACACTACAGTTCATGTGTGTCTTTCACTGTACATGTGCAGAAGAGCCATAGGCCCTGGTCACATAAAGTATGTATGAATGCAGGTCACTGCTAAGATACACAGAAAACACCTGTTTTCTATGTCTCTTGTTCACACTGCAACAGAGCCCAGAGGTGCAGTGCAGCGAGCTGCATTTAACCTCTTGGCGCCGGCCGCACGCAAATGTACGACCTCCCGGCGTCTGGGCCTTGGCGCCGAGCGGCCGCACATTTGCGTTCAATTAAGAAAAACGTGCTGAGAGCGCACGCCCTGCGTGCTCCCAGCACACGTGTCCGGTACTCACGGAAAGGTCCCGATCTCCTCTTTCAATCGGGACCTTCCTCAATCATGTGACCGCTCGATCAACCCTGTCCCGCCTCCCGGCTTCTCAAACCCTTAAAGGACCAGGAGGAGCCGGCGCCAAGGGTTAAATACAAACAAGCTGGAAGACAGGAAGATTTCTCATGTCACTTTATTTAAAGTGCATGCAGCGACACTTCATTCATATCACTGTACAGCAGCAAGGTGCTTTGTGCTGGTGTACAGTGATGTGAATGAAGTATCACTTTGTGAATTTCAAATAACATTGAGAAAAAATAAAAAAAAAAAGGGAGCTGAAACATGCATCACACAACCCACTACCATCGGAGCAGAAACACACACTACATCAGGCATGTTACTGCAGCACACAAAAAACGTGCATCCAGATCTTAATGAAAACCCGATGCACCATGGCAATCATGTGACAAAATGCATAGTGACAAAGTTCCATGTGTATTGGAGTAGTGCGATAAAAAAAAGGGTCGTGCACTTCTTTGGTGCTATTTAGACGAGGTAGGTAGCCCAAAAATGGGCTGCTCAACTGCAACACACAGTAACAGATGAAAAAAATACACGTCAATGCATGAGTGCTGCTGCACCACACAAATGTAATCGGATCCTGTCTAAATTGGCCCTTGTATATGAATGTGAGGGACCTTAGATTGTACGCCCCTTGAGGTTAGGGACTGATGTGAATGTACAATATATATATAAAGTGCTGCGGAAATTGACAGCGCTATATAAGTACCTGAAATAAATAAATAAACCTAGCCTTACCCAAAACAGAAGGAATAGGAGGGAGGGAAGCTGAAGGGGGGGGAAGAAGAAGTGCAAAGGCCAATTTATAATAAAAAAAATAAAATCATGTGCAGTGGTTATATACCTGTACTGTATGTGATGCCATTTTAAGCAATGTATTCATTTCAGGTTGGTATTTGGATGGATATAAAAAGAGCGTTTGGATAAAAAAATAGTCAGTTTCCAATATTTATCCTACCTGTAGATGGCAGTGTGGCACCAGCAGAGCACAGTCTAATTAGCTACACATACCTTCTTTGTTGTGTGAAACTTGGATATTCCAAATGTTTCCTGAAGTCATTGTAATGTCACTTATAATTTACAAATGACACATCATTTCAGAAACCTTGTGAATCTCACAGCATCCACAATGTCAACATTGTATTTTGGACTTGTGTTGCTTATAGGTTGAATGCCCTTTGCCGATAACCCTCATTGCTGTCCTGTGCTGCAACAGGCACAAGCAGATGCACAACAGAAGCAGGTTTTTAAAGTTTACATTTCATTTGATGAGTAACGCTGGCCATAAACTAGTAGATTTTCAAATGAACATTTGTATGAAAATTCTCATCAGTACATTCAATGAAATGAAATTTGTTCACCTGAGGAATAATTTCCATCATGCTCCTTCCAATATTCTTGTCACTGCGGTTGAAAATGAATGTTGATTTAACCCCACTAATGATTAGAAAATCAAACGTATGTTCCTAATCTAACAAACAAACAAAAAAAATGACTAGTGTATGGGCAGCTTAAAGGATAAGTTCACCTTTGGAACATGTTACATGTTCTACTAATTTTTAGGTTGGAACATGTTCCCATAGCCGCAGCCGCGCCCACCGCCCCCCTCGCTCTGACAGATAGTACGGGGAGAAGTTTCCCCAACTGTCAGATTTGAAAACAGTGTGGCCGTGCGGGGCTCCGCCCATGCGGCCACGTCATTCATTCATGAACTTCCGTGAATGAATGAACTGCAAGTCCGAACAGCCTTAGCGGCTGTGGGCTTGTAGTTTTCAATGAACTACCACAGCGCTGTGGAGCACCGTGGTAGTTCATTGAAGCTTCCTGTCAGAATATCTGCTTGACTGTACGTCCCGTACAGCAAGCAGATATTCTGACAGGTCTGCAGGAGGCCTGCATGACATCAGCAATCTACTGATTGCTGGTGCAATGCTTTCCAGGCTCCTTTGGACAAAAATAATAAATGCAAATTTTATTACCTGCACATTTTATTAGCCGCACTTTCCTATCATATACGTCTGTGATGTCCCGTGGTTTTGGTGCAATTTCAAAAAGCGCACCAAAGATGCAGCATGCAGGAGTCTATAGGAAAGGTTATCTTCGCTTTAGCAAAAGCACAGCGGGGCATTGTGCAGCCCCACAACTACCAAGGAGGGACCATATTTCATCTTCATGACCTAATCAGATAACAGGTGACATGGTTGCAATGCGAGAGGAATGTTTTTCCGAAATATCTTTTTTTTTGTTTTGTACCCCTACAACAAATGACGTTATACAACCCTTGGAGTCAGGTTATTTTAACCTTTATTTCAAGAAGTGTGGGGTCAGCGATTTATAGCTTGCAATTAAAATGAGCTCTATGCTAGCTGCCAAGCTTTAAAGTGGTTGTAAAGGTAAAGGTTTTTTTTTACCTTAATGCATTCTCAGCAGGTAGAAAACCAATTAAGAGCAGCTCCCCCTGCAACCCCCCCAAATACTCACCTGAGCTTGATCTCAGTCCAGCACTGTACATGTCTGCAGCAGCTCTTCTTCCCTCTCCACTGTCTCACAGGCTTGGCAAAGAGCAACGTAAACCATTGGCTCCTGCTGCTGTCAGTCAAAGCCAGTGAGTAGGGTGGGGTGGGGCTGAGATGGGCTGTGTGTCTGAATAAACGCAAGAAACTCAGCTTGAGATCAAGCCTGTGTGAGAGACCACCATAGGAAGGGGCTTACTATTGTGGGCACTCGGCCGAGGGAGGAGCCAGGAGCACAGGCGGGGGACCCAAGAAGAGGAGAATCAGACCTGCTCTGTGCAA